TTGCGTTCCTAACCACTGCGCTGTGGAGACAGGGAGACCAGGTGAGCTGTCTAAAAATGTCCTGGCTTGCTTGGGCTCTCCGCCAAGCCTTTAGTCTTAGTTCTTTCTGAGCTCAGGTAGTGGATCCCTTGGAGAACCCTCTCTTGGTTTCTGACTTTTGCTACAGAGAAGCTTGCTGGGAACCTCAGAAAATGCCCAGTTCAGGGATGGCTAGTAGGTTTCGTCGATTAGTGGTGGGCTGGAGCTCTGTGTTGAAAACGGCTCTGAGGCCGTGTCCAGGCACACGGGGAGTGCTGCGGCTGCTGTGCGGTTTCTGCTACGGTGCAGCTTGCGTGCTGTGTGTGCATCCTTGGATTCATCTGAACCAGCCATTTACGGAATGGAAGCTGGGGCTCAGAAAGGCCAGCAGTTTGCTCAGGTTCCTATAGGAATTTGGATGCAGGGCAGACCCCACCTCTGCAGACTCTCAGGCTAGTGGCCTTCACCACCATGCTGTTCCCGGGGGCACTTCCTGCATTCTGCTTGCCACTGTGGTTAGCTGGCCATTCAGTGTCCTGTCCTCGCCCGGAGTCATCACGGCAGGGAACGTCTAATATTTCCCTCCGCCCATTCACACAGAACCCACCATGTAGCAGGGGATTCATACATAGGCTTTAAAAGAAGGATGAATAAATCAAGGCAGGTCTAAGTATGTGTATCTTACGGGAAATGGCTGAATTCTCATGGTTAGGTGTGGAGATAAGTTATTAATCAGAAATTTTCTGTATTCATTGTCATCAATAAGAACACGATTTAAACTTTTCAAATCAAATGGTAGCAATTGCCATTAGGAACGGTCTCAGAAAACAAGCTGTTTCTGGCAAGAATATGAGAAATAATGTTCACCTCTTTGTTTTGGGGGAGGTTTACAAGAAATTCCTTTATTGAGTTCCCACCTATTAATATGTTAGTCTGTGTATGCTAGCTGCTATACTCAACAACCCAGAGCAGTGGTTAAATGAAGGTTTCTTTCTTGCTTGTGTCCTGATTCGGTGTGGGTCAGGTGTGGGGTGGTGGCGTGTGTTGGGCAGGGCTGTCCCGTGCACTCCTTCAGGAACCAGGGCTGCTTCTACCTTGTGATGCCACCGTTTTCAGCACAAGCCTACACAGCTGATACCAAAGGGGAGAAACAGAGGAGAATCTTCATGAACCAGTTCTGGAAATTGAGACATTACTTTCACTCACATTCCATGGGCAACATCAAGTCACCTAGCTCTAACCTAATAAAAAAGGGATGGAAAATATACATCATTCGTGTGCCCAGGAGGAAAAAGGAACAGGTGCAGTGATGCCATCACTTCTTTGCCACAACATCATATGCCAGGTACTGGGCCAGGCTTGGAGGGAGGGAATCAAGATGACCCTGAACTCAGAGGACTCAGAGGTTAAAGAGAGACTGAAAAAAGTAAAGAAAATGCAAAAAAAGGGGAAGAAAGGAAATTGGCAACCAAAAAAATAAAAAAACTAAAAGGGCCCCCGGTCCGCTGGTGACTATGCAATGTCTGTTTAAAAATTATTTAAAATGTTTTTCAAAGAAACACATATACATTGGTTAAAAATATTGAATAATACAGAAAGGATGCGTAGGACATAGACTTTCTGAGTTCACGCCTGTCCGAGGTTGTTATTCAGCCCTCGCACTTGATTGATATTTTGCCGAATATAGAATTCTATGTAGAGAATGTTTCTTTTGGAACTTTCATCTGTGGTGATCTGGTGTCTCCTTTCTCTAGAAGATGTTAAGATTTATTCTTTAATCTTGTTTACTTACTTTTTGGCACAAAAAGATGTTCTAGGCTAATCCTATACTTTCCCTGGCCCAGCCCCTGGAATTAGCCATTTCTCCAGTGAGTCCTGATGTCCTTTAGTGTAAAATGGTCTTGAGAAACCATGATCTGGATGCTTGGTGAGCAGTGAGCTTGGTGTGCTCACTGCTGTGGGGATGGCATCGCTTTCACGCCTGAGATTTCAGTGGACACACTAGGAAATATATGTAAGCATAGGTGTATAAGTGTGTATTTAAATTTATATCGATTGCCATTTATCTGTTTCATACATTTCTAGCAATTTCTATATCATATTTCTATCTACACAAAAACCCAAAAGTTTATACCACAACTTCCCATTCCAAGTCAGCACCACAGAATTATTTCAGTCTTCCCCTTTCTGTAGGTTTCGCTCCCTACTCTAGCAGTGAGAAACTTGGCTCCCATTAACCTCAATATTTACTTGAGTTTTCTCAGTCCTCTGGATGCCACAGATCTGGCCACACTGGCTGTGATCTCGACTCCAGCCCCGCTGGCCTCCACCATGTGGGCCACCCCCTCTGCCCTAGCCCTGGTCGGGCCCTATTCAACTATATGACTTTTTAAATATTGTCTCTGGTTCTAAAACTGAAATAGTAAAAATATGGATGTTTTCTTTTGCTATTTTATGCTGTGGTGATTTTGGTGAAGCCCTTTTTAAATCGTTTTAATGACTTTTAAGCAAATTTTTTTTTTTAGCTATTTTGTACAACTTCTGAGATTTTTACTTTTAAACATTCAGAGTTGGTTGTTGGACTTCTTTATCCATGTTTAACACTTTTTCCAACTGTATATTTCTTTTATAACTAAGCAGCTTTGATAAGCTTTATCATAAAAAAATCAAATTTCAACACACGTGAAGAACTGGCCCATTTTGTTGTGTGTTGTTGAAAAGACAATGATTCATTTTTCAACCCTTTTAAATCATTTTTTGATAACTAAAGAAATATGTGCCTTTTATGAATACTACAAACAATGTTGAAATTATGAAGTCAAGAGTGAGGGTTCCTCTCAAATTTCTACTCTACTATGCAGCTTCAGCATTACCTGAAAACCTGTTAGAATTGCTGATTCTTGGGTCCTAGTCCCAGTGCTACTGAACCGTATTTCTAGGGGTGGGCGCCGGTAATCTATGTTTTGACCAGCCTTCCTGATGGTTCTTATGCTGAAGTTTCAGATGTCCTTATCTACAACACAGCTTTCTAACTAGTATGATTCAATATATGGCATCTTTAGCCTCTGGGCAGTCCAGCTGGGGCATGGGGTGGCTTGAGTCCCAGTTGCCTTCAATATAAACAGCCTTATCTTTTTATTATTATTATTATTATTTCTTTTTAGACAAGGTCTCACTCTGTTTTGCCCAGGTTGGAGCGCAGTGGCATCTTCATAGCTCACTGCAACCTCAAACTCCTGGGCTCAAGTGATCCTCCTGCCTCAGCTTCCCAAGTAGCTGGGACTACAGGCACGCACCACCACACCCGCTGAGCCTCGTGTTTTTACTCCAAGGTTGCATAATTATTTGGAGACTTAGTGATGAAAAAGATATGATTCTTGCAGCCAAGTATCATATCTCATGCTTATTTTCAGTTCTTCTCTATAGACTGAAATGTTCTTTAAGGGCAGCAATCTAGTGTGTTTTGTTCTCATGGCTTTCCTAAGGCCTAGCTCCTAGCACACTGCATGACATAAAGTAGCCACTCAATAGCAATCTGTTTGAGTGACAATAAAAATCTGTTACAAGATTCCAGAGACAGAGAGATGGGTCTTTTTAGCTGGAATGATGGGGGGAGGTTTTATGGTAGCATTTAATTTGAGCCCTTGAGATTGGGTTGAGTTTTTCTGGGTAGAGGTCAGAGGAGGGCATTTCTGGCAGAGAACACCACAAAAAGTAAGGAAGCAAAAAAGAACATACTGTTTTTGAGGAACTGTGAAAATAGAGTATGTGAGTATTATGCAATTAACCTGCACATAACATATTTCTGTGCCCCTCAAAGAGCTCTGTGAGTGACCAGATGCTTGTTTAGAATGGACAGTCTTGGTTTCATCCCTCACTTCTGTTGAGCTGCCATTGTTAGGACCCAACACCTTCTTAAGTGGCCCTCTGGCACCCTCACTGCTCTCTGTCCCCCTTTCATTCTTCTGAACTTAACAACTTGACCTGTCAGAGAACTCAGTGAAACTTCATGCATTCCCCTTAGGTCTAGCACAGTTTTTATCCAATAACCCTTTGAAATTTTCCCAAAGGCTTTAAAACAAAATCTCCATGGAGAATCCAGACACTGCTGGGTTGCCATGCCCAGTCATACATTTAGGCCTTAGTGGGTTGGTTTCAACTCAAAATTTCTGAATTCAACAGCATTCAGTGAAATAATGAGAGAAATAAAGAAGATCATAAATGGATCAAAATACAGGCTAGAACCTTGAGCATCTGTGTTTGCCTTTTTTTATATCCTTAAAACCCATTGAAATGACAGAAGAAATATAAACATAAGTTCATAGAAGCAGTAGGAGGTCAGAAAAGATGACATTAGCCCATCATAAAGTGAAACATTTCTGTTCTCTATAAAGGACATGGGTCAGCTTGATAGAAAATCACAAGAAGGCTGAAAAAAGGTGTGTCTTCATATAGGTGAAGGAAAAGATCGTTGAAAAAGAGGATTTTTTCAGCAGGACCCTGGGTAACCCATAGATCAGAGTCAGAGGGTGCTGGGAGAAGAAACCTGGCTTGAGTGCATAGCTACAACCTTGCCAGTCCCCATGGTAGGACAGTGAGGTGTGGGGTTTGCCCCAGGATAAACCTACAAGCTTTTCTCCAAATTGGAATAAGAAGGTAGAAGGTCCTTGAAGATTGTCTCTAAGAATGAAGCAGTTGCTGTGAAACAAATGTTGGTAATAGGTGTGTGCAAATATGGAATGCTAATGAAATGAAGACAAGTTATGGGACAAGAAGATCATCATGGATCAAATATTGAGCTAGTGATAGAGTAACAGAAACTATTTCCTGAAACTGTAGCCAAGCCTTCAAAGATGAGCTATTTTAGTACAGAGGAGAAGATGAGTTATAATGTGAAATTGTATTTAATCTCTTTGGGGCACATCAGTTCCTTCATTTTTATTTCAGGTTATTTCCTCTTAAAATTCAAATTCAAATTCCTCTTAAAATTGAATATTCTTTATTAGATGTATTACTTTTACAGTGAAAACAGAACAATACTTTTTAAAATAATTCGGGCCAAGAAATTCGCAGGAAGTGTTGGGGCAAGAGAGTTGGGGATGGGGTGGCTGGCCCCTTCTGTCCCATTTCCTCAAGAAAGTGCTATTATTCTTGAGCCTGTGGATATGGAGTAGGGCGTCAGTTTTCTCATGCAATCTTGAACTCCTTCACCATTGGGGTCGGCACAGACACGTTTCCCCTTCTTGGTGTGGAAGCTGGGGACAAGGGAGAGAAAGATCACACACTGAGGGGAGTTCAGCAAATGGAGAATGGGAGCCCCATCCTCCCTGCCTCATAGATTCCCCATTTGAAACAGCCTGTCCTTCCCCTTCTCAGCTGGTGGCAGCTCACAACCAGTACCTTGTGAGTCTCTCCCTCAGCCTGTGAGACCCTCTAGTGACTCCTGGGCATGTCCTTGGGCAGCCTAGTGTCTGCTCCCTCCGTCCTTCCCTGCCCTTCTCTCTGCTGGGGGCATCTCATCCATGATCCCTCCCAGGGTGCTAGTAAGCACACAAGCTGCCCCTTACCTGGCAGGATGCAGAGGGTGGGACTTTTCTGGATACCCACCCATCAGGTCCTCCCTGTAAGGCCCTGCAGCTTCCCTCTCCCCAACACATGGTCGGTGAGCTTGGCACTTACATGACACCCGGCTGGGAACACCCACTGCTCGTTACAAAATAATCTCTCATGAATACACAGCGGATGCTTCGTGGGGTGTAGGATAAGCAGCAGTCAGCAGGGCGGTGAAAGCCTGCAGCTAGAGAAAGGACCACTTAAGGGCCAAGCCTTTTTTCTCAGGAGTATTGTGCAGGGTCAGAAGGTGCAGGACTCAGAAGAGAGGATTCCTCCAGCCCTTGCTTCACACCCTCCCCAGGATTGGGCTGTGTGTGTGAGGACAGCCAGGGTGGGCCACCACAGGGCCAGGAGCATTTACCCCAGAAGGGGAGGGCATCTGCAGACACCTGTATGTGTCAGAGAGCACCCTCTGCCCAGGGGAGCAGAATCTCGGGTCAGCTATGGGGGAATAGAGAAGGCAACGGTGAAGGAGGTCCCCATGGTCATCCTGATCTTCCTTGGAGACATTCACCACCTTCAGAACCCTCCTGTTCTTCCCCCCTCCTGTAAATGGGCTGGCTGGGGGCCATTGTGCAGATCTGTACCTCCTTGCTACTTTTATTTATTTTTCTCCTTGCTACTCTTAAATATATGCCATATCTGATCATTTACCATGGTGCATTACTGAAGATCCAAGCTGAAGCTTTTCCATCGTGAGTTCTCTTGTCTCTGTATCTGTAAGAAACAGACAGGGCAGGGAGATAAATCACTGGAAGACAGCATTGTCTCAGAGTGGCTCCACACACCACTCCCCACCCCCATCCCGAGGGAGAGGCTCTGATGTGGGACCACTGCCACCTGCCTGGGTTCTAGCCCTGTTTCCTGGCCCATTTGTTCCATTAGGGCCCTGAGATTCTTCAGAGACCTTTTGAAAATGTTTGATATACATAGATATTGTATTAATTCTGAAACACTAAAAGCAAACCTCAAATCTAACATGGTTAAGTTAATCAAATGTCTACATAATATGATAAAATCCATAATTCTTTCTATACATTTCTGGAATCTACAGGGCTCTGAAAACAGAAACTTTTTCATCAACCCACTTGGTGGCAAAATGTAACCTGCAGTGAAGTGAGACTATTCATAGTCTTTTTAAAATCCCATGTAGTATAAACATTTCCATATATTTGGCTGCAGAAATATTGCTGTGTTTGACCAAAGTATGCTTTTAAGACATCACTAGGGATGTTAAGTACCTTATTAAAACCAGAAAAATTTTGTAATACAAAATACGTCTAACCCCAGATATTTTAGATAAGGGACATGTATCTGTATAATACTAATTAGGAAAATGCAATGAAACTTTTAGCTCATTCTTATGTTGTTACATATGAATTATATTTAATAAGGCATATGGGTACACTTTAATTTGCTTGATATGTTGTGGGTGGGCTTACCAAAAAAAAAAAAAAGAAAAAAAGATCTTAAATGGCCTTGTCTTTCCATAACTACTCCCTAATTAGCTCATATCCTAATTTCATCATTTACTAGCTGTGTTGATCTTGAGTAAGTCATCTAAGGTTTCTATGCTTGTAAAATGTGAATAAGAATTTTACAATTATTATTTTCTCCCTTGTAAAATGTGAATAATAATAGTAATATAATAATATGCAAAATATATAAAATTGCTGATGTCCTTCGGTTTTTTTTTTTTTTCCTACAAGAATGGCAAATTTACATTTGTTTAACCCAATATCTACCCCACAGGGTTGTTAGGAAGAATCAATGTGTTAATATCTCTAAGACATTTAGAACAGTGGCTTCCCGGCACAGGGGAGCTACTAGGTATGTATTTGTTAAATAACAAAATAGAATGGCAGGATGAACTGTATTAATCCTGTTTCTTAGTTTCTGTATCTTATGATGTTTTGACAACTTAAAAATCTTGACAGCTGGGGAGAGACTGCCCCTCCCAGGGTGAGCCAACTAACAGACAAAGCAAAGAGCTCAGACCTTTCTTATAAAATCAACTCATATGGAGCCCATATGTCTAGCCACCTCCTTCATTTAGCTCTCACACACCAAGCCAATATTTCCCTCCCCTAGATCATGCCAAGGCCAGGTACCAGATAACCAGAGATCATCCCTGGATCCCCAAACCTGCTGGATTTACTCAGGCTAGCCGATCCTAAACTGCATACTCTGCTTGCCCTGCCTTTTCCCCAGAAACCGCGAAGGTTCTGGCATAGTTTTTTTTTTTTCTTTTTTGAGACAGTCTCACTCTGTAGCCCGGGCTAGAGTGCTGTGGTGTCAGCCTCACTCACAGCAACCTTAAACTCCTGGGCTCTAGGGATCTTTCCTCCTCAGCCTCCCAAGTAGCTGGGACTATAGGCACAGGCCACCATCCCGGCTAATGTTTTTCCTATTTTAGTAGAGAGGGGTCTCACTCTTGCTAAGGCAGCTCTCAAGCTTCTGACTTCAAGCAGTCCTCCGACCTCGCCTCCCAGGATGCTAGGATTCAGGCCCGGCCTCTGGTATAGGTTTTTCCCTCCTCATGCTCATGCCTCCTGTCAAAACCTGACGCTTCCCTTGGGCCCTATGGCTTGGTGTACCTCCTCCTATTGAGAAATGTAAGTAAATAATTTTTTTTATGAATGGCATTGGCCTCTCTGTATTGATACTCTATCACCTCCATAAATTAATCCCATGGGTACAATGAGACAGTGATTTTGGGTGAATCACCTGCCTGGCTGGGCCACCCTCTTCCTTTACAAAATCATATTTTATGCTAGATGGTATTTAACAGTTCTAACACCATAGAATTATATGCTTCTTTGCACAAATTGCAGTTTAATTGTGGTTCTTTTTATCTAGCTAAAATGAGGCTAAGAGAAGGTATCAGATATTTTTGTGTCCCAAATGAGACCAGTCAGTCATTGTGTAAATTTTTTCCAGGACAAAAGGCTGCAGACTGAGGCAGGTCTATACCCTGGTGCTGCTTTTCAGCAGTGCCATAATCATGTCGGACAGAAACTATCACAGGAAGGCAGTGGAGTCCTCTGCATCTCCTCCCCAGACTAGAGATACCACGGACCAGGCATGGGAGAAGGTTCACTGGATCACGTGTATGACCGGGCCTGGGATCCAAGGCAGCAGCAAGGATGAGGAAGCGAGGGGCAGCCACCGGAAACCTTCATTCCTCCCAGTGGAAGTCCAGAGCTGGCCTGAGGACTCCCTGGGCTCACAGGAACCCAGCTCTGTCCTCGTATTTATAAGACCAGGAAGTCATAGGCAGAAGTCAGAATGCTATTCTTTGCGTATATAATGGTTAACATGTTATTTCTAAAAGGAGGAACAAGCAAGAATGAATCAGGAAGTAGAAGGCAAAGTGGATGTGAGTGTCCTATGGAATTTTGGAACTGTCCCAATGGTACAGGCAAAGAGAGTAAATATTTCAAGGAAGACTCTTTCTCCAGGAGAGTCATTTAATCTCTAATGTGAGCTTAGGGTGGAATAGGGACTATCTGTCATTCCCCAACTCATTGAACTTGATGGACACTGCCTTAGTCCGTTCAGTTGGGTACCTGGGACCTGACCAGGGAACTTTAAAGGTAATAGCTATCAAGCTGCCACCCCAATGGAGAGCTGGAATGTCCTCAGATTAGGGGCTGGGAGTGCTCCCGGGCACTGATGATCGTAACAGCCCTCACCCTCTATCTGGACTTCACGTGCCCCAAAAAGCCTATATCGGGGTGACCACCAGGGGCAATCTGTACCCCTGTAACCTTGCCGTCGATTCCACAGCCCCCCCCCCCCACCCCGCCTGCCTGCCAGTCTCTACGATTAGGGTCAACTCCCTAAGTTTCTGTCTGAGTGCAGAAGGCCCTTCAGAATGGGTCTCCTGCATACCAAGCTCTCTCTCTTTTTCAATATATGAGCATTTTAATAATTAAATTAACAGTTATATGCATTCATTATTTTAGATTTTATCCTTTTTGTTTTAGAGTGAATATTTTTCAAACCCCATAATAGTGCTTATGGATAAATTGTCTTATGCACGTAACTAATTCCACTAACCCATCAATCTTTTAGCAGACACCTCTGCGGACAGAGACTGCTGCTTTCTTGCTCCTAGGCTGGCCATGTCCTCCTAACGTGCTTTTGTATGTCTGGATGATACTTATATAAAAGTACATAAGCACCTGTCACGCCTATTTTAATGACTTCTGTACTATAATGGTCCATCCCCCACCAAATAATAATGTGTGTTGTGTGTGTTGTGTGTTGTGGTGTGTCGTGTAGTTTAACAACAACAAAAAAACCCAACCATAAGATGAGAGTCACCTTCCTGACAAACTTCCAGTGTGCAGTGTTAACGTCCTTGAATGAATGTCTCAAGAAGGAGATATTACCATAAAACGAATGGTGTGAGGTCTATAGTACAATTGGCAATGATAAATTCATAATAAGACAAGCATTCTCTTTTGTTTAATTAGAAAGTCATTAAGAATGCTGAAAAATAGAATCAATATGATTGTCTAGGGTTAACAATGTCATGAAACTGTGGTCATTTGAGGGAATAATGATGTCACTAAAATGAAATCTTCAGCTCCCAAGCTGACTGACCTGGATCCTCATTGGCAAGGGGACCCAGATAATACCCTAAAGCTGAGTTGCTGGCCATGAAAGGCCGAGGGACGGCAGAGTCTCTCTCATGGCCTCCCTTCTTAGAGATGGCCTCTTGTACTCATAACAGGTGCAGCTCAAAACCACACTGCAGGTTATCCACATAACAGATCACATGAGCATCCTTGTGACTTTGTCTCTGTTAACAGACTTCCTTATCTAAACATCCAGGCTTTAGGAACAGAAGCCTTACTTTCTTTTCCTTTTTTTTTTTTTTCTGCTACAAAAGGCATGAGACAGTCTCCACAAAGCTTCATTTCTTTAACCTATTATAAATCAAAGAACCTTTAAACGCACCTATAACCTGTAATTCCCCACTTTGAGATGTCCTGCCTTTTTGTCCAAACCCATGCACACCTTCCATGTGTTGATTTATGATTTTACATGTAATTCCTGTGTCCTTGAAATGCATAAAACCAAATTGTAACCCACCCACTGCGAGATCACTTGCTCAAGGCTTCTTGGGCGTGGCTCCCGGGCAATGGTCACACATATTTGGCTCAGAGTAAACCTCTTTAAATCCTTTTACGGAGTTTAGGTTCTCTTCTGTTGACAAAGTAAACAACACTTTTCTAAACTGTAGTCAAACTTTCCAAGATTAGCTATCTTAGTAGGGAGCAGAAGATGAGACATAATGTGAATTTGTTTAATCTCTTTAGGGTTATAATAATTCCCAGCTTTCCCCATTATCTGAGGACTTTTTCTACCCTAGTAGTGATTTAGCCTTACAAAGGTCATTTGGGTATGGATCACTTTTCTCCTATCGAATTTGTAGGCAAATCACCCTAAAAGCTTAGGTTTTAAACTTTGTTTCCAAATACATAATATTTTGTTGTTGTTTAGAATTCAGTGCTATCTTTTGAATTTTATGAGACGGTTGACCAAGATATACTCATTATAAATATAAACTGATGTGCTTTAATAGAGGTGCATATAAAATTGATATTAATGTTATCTTTAAATGTTTTTCTTAATATACTTTAACTTTAGGGGAGAAATCTCTTAGAAACTTATATCTGTTAAGAAAAACATCTAAAAATTAGAATTAGGCAAAAGGATGCCTGCATGCTTTTCAATGTCATATTTGAATATGGTCTAATAGGACCACAGCAGGATTCCTGAAATCTGTAGGGGAATGTGCTTTTGATTGATGTTCTATTTACTATCGATTAGGCCCTAGACATTATGAAATTATATGTTAACTTGTAAATTTTTGTCTAGCACACATGAAAATGATTTCTGTTCACTAGAAAAGATTAACCCAAAAGGTTACAGTTTTATTATTGCCATGTACACAGGATATTATTGTGAGCTCTAATTTAGCAAACTGATTTCAGAATATCGCCCCCAATTAACTGTACAACTGTCTGTTTCTCAAAAGAACTTTGAATTATTTTAGTGGTCCCCTCACTAATGGGTTGAATACATCTTGGACGCATACTCAATCTAAATTTGAATGAGTCATCTTTTTGGCTTGTAAAAAATTACACTGTGTCTCTTGTTGTGAAGACAGCACTTATTCAAAGTTCAATAATTCTTTTGGTTTCTTATTCCTCTTAAAATTCAAGCAAAGCAGATTAGATATTCTTTATTGGATGTATTGCTTTAAAACCAGAACAGAAGAATAAATGTTGTTTTTAGAAAAATAATTCAGGCCAAGGGATGCTCATAAGGCAGTTGGGGCAAGACAGCTGGAGGTGGATTGTCTGGCAACTGGTGTTCCATCCTGTGAGCAAGTGTCCTTATTCGTGGGCCCCTGATATCTGATTTTAGCTTCAGGTTTGTCATGCAGTCTTGAACTTGACTGTCCCTGGGGTTGGCGCAGACACGTTGCCCCTTCTTGGTGTAGAAGCTGGAGACGGGGTAGAAAGATCACACACTGAGGTGTGTTCAGCCAATGGAGAAGGGGAGCCCCATCCTCCCTGCCCCTTGGATTCCTCATTTGAAACAGCCTGTCCTTCCCCTTCTCAGCTGGTGGCAACTCATACCCAATACCTTGTGAGACCCTCCGTCAGCCTGTGAGACCCTCTAGTGACTCCTGGGCATGTCCTTAGGCAGCCTTGTGTCTGCTCCTTCCTTCCTTCCCTGCCCTTCTCTCCGCTGGGGGCATCTCATCCCTGATTCCCGGAGGGTGCTAGTAAGCACACAAGCTGCCCCTTACCTGGCAGGATGCAGAGGGTGGGACTTTTCTGGACACCCACCCATCAGGTCCTCCCTGTAAGGCCCTGCAGCTTCCTTCCCCCCACACATGGTCGCTGAGCTTGCCACTTACATGACACCAGGCTGGGAACAGCTACTGCTCGTTACAAAATAATCTCTCATGAATACACAGCGGATGCTTCTTGAGGTGTAGGATAAGCAGCAGTCAGCAGGGCGGTGAAAGCCTGCAGGTAGAGAAAGGACCACTGAGGGGCAAGCCTTTTTCCTCAAGAGCACCGTGCAGGGTCGAAGGTGCAGGACTCAGAAGAGAGGATTCCTCCACCCTTGTTTCACACCCTCCCCTGGTTTGGGCTGTGTGTCTGAGGACAGCCAGGGTGGGCCACCACAGGGCCAGGAGCATTCTCCCTAGAAGAGGAGGGCATCTGCAGACACCTGCAGGTGTCAGAGAGCACCCTCTGCCCAGGGGAGCAGAGTCTTGGGTCAGCCATGGGGGAATAGAGAAGGCAACGGTGAAGGAGGTCCCCATGGCCATCCTGATCTTCCTTGGAGACGTTCACCACCTTCAGAACCCTCCTGTTCTTCCCCCCTCCTGTAAATGGGCGCTGGGGCCCATTGTGCAATCTTACCTCTGTCGACTTTATTTATTTCTCCTTGCGTACTCTTAAATATATGCCATATCTGATCATTTACCATGGTGCATACTGTAAGATCCAGCTGAAGCTTTCCATCGGAGTTCTTGTCTTTTGTATCTGTAAGAAACAGACAGGGCTGGGAGATAAATCACTGGAAGACAGCATTGTCTCAGAGTGGCCACCACCCCTCCCCACCCCCATCCGAGGAGAGGCTCTGATGTGGGCATGCCACCTGCCTGGGTTCTAGCCCTGTTTCCTGGCCATTTGTTCCATTAGGCCCTGAGATTCTTCAGGGACCTTTTGAAAATGTTTGATATACATAGATATTGTATTAATCTGAAACACTAAAAGCAAACCTCAAATCTAACATGGTTAAGTTAATCAATGTCTACATAATATGATAAAATCCATAATTCTTTCTATACATTTCTGGAATCTACAGGCTCTGAAACAGAAACTTTTCATCAACCACCACTTGGTGGCAAAATGTAACCTGCAGTGAAGTGAGACTATCATAGTCTTTTTAAAATCCCATGTAGTATAACATTCCATATATTTGCTGCAGAAATATTGCTGTGTTTGACCAAAGTATGCTTTAAGACATCACTAGGGATGTTAAGTACCTTATTCAAAACAGAAAAATTTTGTAATACAAAATACGTCTAACCCCAGATATTTTAGATAAGGGACATGTATCGTATATACTAATTAGGAAAATGCAATGAACTTTTAGCTCATTCTTATGTTGTTACATATGAATTATATTTAATAAGGCATATGGGTACACTTTAATTTGCTTGATATGTTGTGGGTGGCTTACCAAAAAAAAAAAAAAAAAGAAAAAAGATCTTAAATGGCTTGTCTTTCCATAACTACTCCCTAATTAGCTCATATCCTAATTTCATCATTTACTAGCTGTGTTGATCTTGAGATAAGTCATCTAAGGTTTTATGCTTGTAAATGTGATATAAGATTTTACAATTTTATTTCTCCCTTGTAAAATGTGAATAAATAATAGTAATATAATAATATGCAAAATATATAAAATTGCTGATGTCCTTCTTTTTTTTTTTTTCCTACAAGAATGGCAAATTTACATTTGTTCAACCCAATATCTACCCCACAGGGTTGTTAGGAAGAATCAATGTGTTAATATCTCTAAGACATTAGAACAGTGGTTCCCGGCACAGGGGAGCTACTAGGTATGTATTTGTTAAATAACAAAATAGAATGGCAGGATGAACTGTATTATCCTCTTTCTTAGTTTCTGTATTTATGATGTTTTGACAACTTAAAATCTTGACAGCTGGGGAGAGACTGCCCCTCCCAGGGTGAGCCAACTAACAGACAAAGCAAAGAGCTCAGACCTTTCTTATAAAATCAACTCATATGGAGCCCATATGTCTAGCCACCTCCTTCATTTAGCTCTCACACACCAAGCCAATATTTCCCTGCCCTAAATCATGCCAAGGCCAGGTACCAGATAACCAGAGATCATCCCTGGATCCCCAAACCTGCTAGATTTACTCAGGCTAGCCGATCCTAAACTGCATACTCTGGTTTGCCCTGCCTTTTCCCAAGAAACCCAGTGAAGGCTCTGGCATAGATTTTTTTTTTTTTTTTTTTCTCACTCTAGCCAGGGCTAGAGTGCTGTGGTGTCAGCCTCACTCACAGCAACCCTAAACTCCTGGGATCAAGTGATCCTCCTGCCTCAGCCTCCCAAGTAGCAGAGACTGGATGCATGGGCTACCATTCCTGGCTAATTTTTTTTCTATTTTTAGTGGAGAGGGGTCTCACTCTTGCTAAGGCAGCTCTCAAGCCTGACTTCAAGCAGTCCTCCAACCTCAGCCTCCCAGAATGCTAGGATTAAGCCTCCCAAACTCTGGTATAGGATTTTCCCTCTCTCATACTCATACCTCTTGACCAAAACCTGACGCTTCCCTTGGGGCTTCTGTGGCATGGTGTACCTCCTTCTCTTGAGAAGTGTAAGTAAACATTTTCTTTTTTTCAATGGCATTGGCTTCTCTGTGATGTTACTCTATCACCTCCATAAATTAAAATCCCATAGGTACAAATGAGACAGTGATTTTTGGTGAATCACTTGCCTGGTTAGGACCCCCCTCTTCCTTTACAAAATCATAGTTTTATGCTAGATGATATATAACAGTTCTAACACCATAGAATTATATGCTTCTTTGCACAAATTGAAGTTTAATTGCGGTTCTTTTTATCTAGCTAAAATGAGAGCTAAGAGAAGGTATCAGATAATTTGGGTCCCAAATGGGACCAGTCAGTCAATTGTGTAAATTTTTTTCCAGGGACAAAAGGCTGCAGCCTGAGGCAGGTCTCTACCCTGGTGCTGCTTTTCAAGCAGTGCCACAATCATGTCTGGAACAGAAACTAGTCACAGGAAGGCAGTGGAGTCCCTCTGCATCTCCTCCCCAGACTGAGAAATACCACGGACCAGGCTACTAGGGAGAAGGTTCACTGGACTCACCGTGTATGACACGGGCCAGGGATCCAAGTGCAGCAGCAAGGATGAGGAAGACAAGGGCAGCCACGGAAACCTTCATCCTCCCAGTGGGAAGTCCAGAGCTGGCCTGAGGACTCCTGGGCTCACAGGAACCCAGCTCTGCCCTTGTATTTATAAGACCAGGAAGTCATAGGGCAGAAGTCAGAATGCTATTCTTTGGCTATATAATGGTTAACATGTTATTTCTAAAAAGGGGAACAAGGCTAAGAATGAAGCAGGAAGTAGAAGGCAAAGTGGATGTGAGTGTCCCTGTGGACTTTTGGAACTGTCCCAATGGGTACAGGCAAAGAGAGTAAATATTTCAAGGAAGACTCTTTTCTCCAGGAAAGTCATTTAAACCTCTAAATGTGAGCCCAGGATGGGAATAGGGGACTGTCACTCCCCAACTCATTGAACTTGATGGACACTGCTTTGGGTCCTTTTCCAGTTGGGTTCCTGGAACCTGACCAGAGGAACTTTAAAGGTAAGAGCTAGTCAAGCTGCCACCCCAATGGAGAGCTGGAATGTCCTCAGATTAGGGGCTGGGAGATGCTCCCGGGCACTGATGATTCGTAGCCCTCACCACTCTATCCTGGACCTTCACGTGCCCCAAAAGCCTATAATCGGGGGTGACCACCAGGGGCAATTCTGTACCCTGTAACCTTGGCCAAATGGTTTACAAATTTGGTTATGCATTTCAAGACACAGAATTACAGTGTAAAAATCATAATCACACATGGAAGGTGTGCATGGGTTTGGAACAAAAAAGCAGGACATCTCAAAGTGGGAATTTACAGTTATAGGTCGTTAAGTTTGATTATAATAGTTTAAAGAAAGAAAGCTTTGTTGGAGACTGTCTCATGCCTTTTGTAGCATGAACAAAAAAAAAAAGGAAAAAGAAATGTAGCTCTGTCTAAAGCCTGGCATGTTTTAAGATAAGGAAGTCTGTTAATTCAGAACAAGTCCCAGCCATAGCTCCATGTGATCTGTTAATTGATAACCTGCAGGTTGGTTTGAGCCCTGCCACCTGTTAATGAGTTACAAAGCATGCTCTAAGAAGGGAGGGCCCGTGACGAGAGAATTGCTCACCTCTCTTCTCATGGCACAGCTAACTCAGCTTTAGGTAAATTACTGGACCCCTTGGCCAAGAGGGATCCATCACTCAAGCTTGGGGACTGAAGATTTCATTTTCGTTCACTCATTATGTACTCAAAATGACCACAGTTTCATTGACTGTTAATGTTTTAACACGAAACTCATGCTTGATCTTATTTCCAGCAATTCTAATTGACTTTCTAATTAAAGAAGAGAAATGCTGTCTTCCAATTCATATCATTCATCTGCAATTGTACTACAGAACTCACATCATTCGTTTTTGTAACTATCTCCTTCTTGGAGACATTCTTCAATGACTTATATGACCGCACACTGGGAAGTTCTTAACAGGTAATTCATCTTATTGTTTGGGGTTTTTTGGTTAATTACACACAACACAACACACACACACACACACAAACACACACTTGTTACTATGGTGGGGGGATGAAGAGCCATTAAGCGTAAGAAGCATTTAATAGACTGTGACAAGTGCTATGGTGAAAGCCTTTATTATATATCAGTGCACACAGAAGCACTTTAGGATGACACTGGGCGCTAGGGGGCAAAAGCCAAGCAGTCTGTCCGCAGAGGGTGATGCTAGAAGAATTGATGGGTTAGTAGAATTAGTATGCATAAGACCAATTTACCACAAGCACCTACTAATGGGGTCTTGAAAAAATTTAATTCCATCTAAAAGTACAAAAAGATAAAATCTAAATGAATGAATGCATCATTAACTGCATTTTAAATGTATTAAAATGTCCAGTATATGAAGAGAGGAGCCTCTGTATGCAGAACCTATTTGAAGGGCCCTTTGCACTCAACCAAACTAGGAATGACCTAATCCAGAGCAGCCAACTGGCAGAGCCTGTCCTGTGGAATCCGCAAT